CCTAGAATACTAGTCGCTACGTCTGACGTCAGAGCCCGAGAAATGAAGTCCAAGGTAGAGCGGAACAAGAGAGTTCCGTTAGCGGTGGGTGAACGTTCAACAACGAGTGTCAAAGTGACTATGTATTATATGCCGAGGAGGAAAACGCCTCGAATCAAAATAAAACCTATGCTATCCATCCATCTAACCTGATCTCCCTTTCTCTCTCTCTCTCTCTCTCTCTCTCTCTCTCTCTCTCTCTCGCTGATTCCCAATGGCAGTGGTTGGAAGCCTTCTCGTGTTGACTCTTCTCATCTTGCTGATCATCTTCGCCAAGAATTTCACATTCAAACGCGGCGACTACGAGACTCGAGAGGCCAAGGGAGCAAAGAATGTGGAGACTGTCGATCAGGGCATCGCGTCAACCCAAACCGGCCAGCCAGACATTCGGAGTAAGGAGTGGTACCTGTAGCGGAGCCATGCCCACTTCCCAGGACCACATTCCCCTATCTCCCTCTCATTGCCAAACCCAATCTTTACAATATATTTTTTTCCAAACGGCTCAATAACGCCGGCCTTGGACCGTTTGGGGTCATACTTTGAAAGCTTTTATTGGGGATTCTATCCAGTTGTAAATAAACGAACATAAGTGCAATGCCTGCACATACGCAGCAGCTGTTTTTTTTAACTATGGCCCTTTGACGGAAAGAAAATTATGATCGGAGCTTGATCAGGAAATGAGTGAGATCCATTTCAAGAATCGGAATCATGGACCTAGAACAATAAACAATAGCGCATACTGATGTTTCTGATGAAGGTGGCATGAGAATAAGCGTTGGCTGTCTAGAGACTTGAGAAGCCTTTAATCTTAGAGGGTTTATTAGCCTACAAGACGTAGGGCATGATCAGAAACTTCATGCGGAGCACAGTTCGCATGACACTTGTGTCTGGTAGTGGGGGAGGCGAGGACATCTGTCGTCCTTCGAATAGTTAAAACCTGACATAAATCAAGTCCCACGTCCCCGAATAATCGGAAGATCCTGCCATTCAAAGCTGGTATTTTTCCGGCCATTAGAGGGTGCCAACTTAAGTATGTGGGACAAAAATAGAAAATTGGCGAAAACTCGGGCTACTGAGAAGATGTAAGTCCAGGTGACCCCAAGTGTATCTCTGACGAAACCTAATCATACGTATACTTTCAATAAATTCTCATCAGGCCATTACATTTATATGG